TGTATTTCTGACTGACATGCACCCGGGGCTGGCCCCCACCTCCTCCTCCCCGATGAAGTGGTGTCGTCTTGCCCCCCTCGCGCGTGCCCGGCTGGTCTCTAATCAACTCCGCTGTTTTTCAAGCCAAAGGCAGCCAGTCCTCCGCGCATGCCACTCTCCGCCTGCCCCGCTGCTACGCCCCGCCACGCCCCGCCACGCCTGCGCCCTGCCTGCTGGGGCCGCACACAAATTAAGTAAGTTTTAGTGGGGTGTATTTCTTGTAACAAGCCGTGCGTGCTTTTTTTCTGAACTGTTAAAAATAAAAGAACAACAATTGAGGGACATGCGTGTGACCGTTCTGAATTTTTGCATCCCGCATCATTATCACAACACGCGATGTACATAGTCTGAACGGTTATCGCGGTAAAGCTAAAAATAAATAAGTCAGCTAAAGGGTTTTGCGAGACGTAAATTGAAAACAGTAATATCACGCAATGTACATGAAACTGGCAACTTGACCTCCCCCCCCCCCCCCCCCCCCCCCCCCCCCCCCCCCCCCCCCCCCCTCCCCTGTTTTACCTTCAGTTCAGTGATCGCCTAGCCTTCCCGATAGCTACTATGAAGAATGTATGCGAGTTTGATTAGTAAATTTTCCATGACAAATTATGTTGAGTTCGCTTTGAAATCTGGAAATTTCCAAATTATTAACGCACTGAATGTTGACTTGAAATTTTAGGCTGAGCAAGAAACAGCTTCCCTCATTTTACGATTCATATCATCAATTTAGAACAATCTGTGAAACCGTCATTTACCAGAAAAGATACTGCAAATTTACAAGAGCGTTTCTCACACTGACTTGGGGCAGAGCAAGTGGGGCGCAGCCAGTGCTCTCACCACACAGGTAGGTGCCCCGGTCGCGCGGTCACATAGCGACATGATTGGATCCTGAAAGTGAATCAAACTGCCCGTGTGGTGAAATATGACGTGCACGAAGCGGAAGAAGTCTTTCTCTCTCACTCGCAAACGGTTTGGCGGCGTCGGTGTGAGGGAGAGAGGGGGATAGAGGGAGGGGAATGGTGGGGAGCCTCGAGGAAGGAGGGGGTCCCAGTCCAGTTCTCGCTCTCCACACCGCCCCCGGGCGGGTGGACAGTCAGCAGGGGGCGGCCGACGAGGCTGCGGAGGGAGAAGGGGGTTAGGGTCTCTAGGAAGGACCGGCCGGGGGAGGCGCCGTGCTAGCCCCCGCTCTGCCCCCCGCGCGCCGCCCCCAAGCCCCTCCGCCGGGGGGCGAAGGGGGTCGCCGCGGACTTGCGAGATATGGAAATCTTATTATACGGACAAATTCGCGTTCGGATATGGCACCCGCGCCAGCCAAAGATGCGGCCGGAATGCCAAGTCCCGCTGTGCATGAAGCTGGCCAGAGAAGAGGGAGAGGGAGAGAGAGAGGGAGGGACGGAGAGAGAGGGTGGGGGAGAGAGAAGAGAAGAGTAGAATGAGAGGCTGGCTGTCAAAAAGTTGGCCACACTGCATGG